GGGGGAGTTTTTCCTTATCCGCTGTGAGGGTCTTAAGGACAGAGGGATGTCGTATGCTGTAAAGCCCTGTGAGGCAAATTGTGATTTGTGATATTGGGCTTTATAAATAAAATTGAATTGAATTGAATTGAAGAAGCCCAGTGTCAACTGTAAAGAAGTGTGTATGAGCAGTGTGTTCTCATCTCACCAACTCATTAAATACTGGTGCTTTGTCAGTGTGGTTCATGTCTGCATATTACACGTTAGGTATCCTCCTGCATCTGTTGTTGACTGTCCGTGTCAATTTACACCTATTAATGCATTATGTCTTCTCTAAATACACTTCCATTTTCACAGGAAATGTACAGTTTTATCTCACATAGGCTCTGTCCTCTATTGGACTCTTTCAGTAATACTCCTCTAATCACAGCCCACATACTCATGCTGAGAAAAGCATAAACTGAGCCAGCCAATCACGATGTCCCTGCCCTAATATATGTGGACCCCACAGTATAAGGGGAGAAAGATTCCTGCTTCCAACATCCTTTTTCTCTTCAGCGATGGCAAGTAGCACACTGAGCAGCTTCCACAATGGATGGAGTCGCCATTTCAAGAACCTTGTCAGTTCCTTGGTGCAGCCCAGGCAGAGAGCAGCGTTCAGCAGCCACCAGCCTGCAAGTCCAGCTTGGCGCTGGCCTAGTTTAAACGCCAGCAGCGGTGGGATCACTCCAGATGCTTCGCTGCCATGAAGGTGAGCAGGAGCTCGAGATCAATGACATTGAATAGTCTTGCTGCATCATTGCCCCCCCCATGCTGCGTGAACGCCGGCAATGTCGTAATGTCCTGTTGATACTTATGTTGGACATGTGACTTTTTTTTCTTTAAACAGATTACATTCCTCAAGAGCATTTCCCTCTTCCTTCCTCACCGGATTCATCATTACTGAATTTGGCTTTGTTTGAGTGTGTTGAGGAGCTGAGGAAGCCATTTCGAGGCTGCAGAGCAGGAGCGAAGTTAAAGGCTAGGAGGTGGAGATACAAGCCTTTCCTGCCGTCGGTCATTATGGGGAATGTAAACTCTTTATCAAACAAATGTGACAAGCTGCTGGGACTGCTGAGGACCCGGTGACTATACAGGGAGTGTAGTGTTTATGTGCTTCATGGAAACGTGGCTGAATGACAATGTGCCTGACTCTGTGTGAATCTACCGGGCTTCTCTACTGTGTGAGCGGACAGGGATGCAGAGGCGAGCGGTAAAAAAACAGAGGTGGGGGACTGATCCCACTTGTGAACAATAAATGGTGTCATCCTGGACGTATCAGAGTGAAGGACAAGATCTGGTGTCAGGATTTGGAACTGTTGGCAGTTGATCTTAGACCGCATTATGTGCCATGGGAGTTTTCGCACATAGTCGCCATTATTGTTTACATTCCACCGAGAGTAGCAACGGCAGTGGCATGGATGACGTCATCCATGAAACTGTTGCTAGGATTCAGACCCAGCACCCTAGTGCATTCATTGCAATAACGGAGGATTTTAACAACACTACTCTCTCCTCCCATCTGACTGGGTTTGTGCAGCATGTGGACTGTCTCACCAGGGAGAATAAGACACTAAATTTTATTGTATGGAAATGCCAAGGACGCCTACAGTGCCTCTGCCCTACCACCTCTTGGCAGATCAGATCATAATCTGGTCTCTCTCCAGCCTACATACAAAGCCTGTGTATTAAAGTTGCCTGTTACCATCCGCTCAGTCAGGAAACCGTCCCCAGAGACCAGTGAGTCTCTCAGACTGTATTGAATGTACAGACTGGACTGTACTACTGCAGCCACAGGACAACAGCATGGACATGGACAGTAGGGTGGATATTTTAACAGATTATATAAACTTTTGTAGGGACACTGTGATGCCAGTAAAGACTGTACGCTGCTTCCCCAACAATAAACCCTGGGTCAGAAATAATATTAAGCAGCTCCTCAACCAGAAAAAGCTGGCGTTCAAGCAAGGGGACAAGGAGAGGCTCAGGGAGGTTAAGCATGAGCTGAAGGGGAGACTAAGACAGGCAAAGGTGGACTACAAAAGAAAGGTGGAGAGTAAGCTGCAGCAGAACAGTATCAGAGAGGTGAGGAAGGGAATGAAGAACATCACAGTCTATTCAAAAAAGAACAGCCAGGTTATGGATGGTGATGTGGACAAAGCCAACAACTTCAACCTGTTTTTTAACAGGTTTGATGAAGGGGGCTTTGTTCACCCTACCCCTGCATCCATCCCCCCTTTCACAGTGTCACCTGCTGCTGCTCCTGCTCCACTGTCTCCTGGAAGTAGGCCTTCCCCACTACCATAGCTACAGCTACGACATCTACCACTCACGGCCAACTATCATTGTCCTTTACAGCAGACAAGGTGAGGGCGGCGCCCAGGAGACTGCATTCAGGGAAAGCTGCGGGCCTGGATGGAGTGTGTCCAAGGCTCCCGAAAGACTGTGCAGCCCAGCTACTCCGGTGGCTCTTTAACAAGAGTCTTCAAACAGGTAAAGTCTCGGTGCAGTGGAAAACATCCTGTCTCGTACTGATGCCCAAAGTGGGACGTTCAGCCGAGTTTAATGGCTACCTACCGGTGGCCTTATCATCACACATTATGGACCCTGGAGCACCTGGTCCTCTGTTTCCTGAAGTCAGAGGTCACTGATGCTGTGGACTCCCTCCAGTTTGCCTATCAGGAGCACATGGGAGTGGAAGATGCAGTTCTTTACATGCTGCATCGGGCCCACATCTACTTGGAGGAGCCAGGATGTTGTGTGAGGATCGTTTTCCTTGACTTTTCAAGTGTGTTTAATACTCAAGAGTCCTGCCACATACAAAAATACTCTGATGTTACAGCTATTGTGGCTTGTAGCAGGAGTGATCAGGAGCAGGAGCACATGGACCTTGTGGATGCCTTCAGGGACTGGTGCAGTAAGTGCTGTCTCCACCTGAACACAGACAAAACCAAGGAGATGGTGGTGGATTTCAGAAGACAGAGGTCACCCCATCAACCAGTCTCCATACAGGTGGAGGACAATGAGGTGGTGCACACCTACAAATATCTGGGGGTCCTCTTGGAAGATAAGCTTGACCTCTCCAGGCTTGGCTCCTGAAAGGGACTGGTTGAGGAGGTTGTGTAGGTTGTGCAGGTCATCCAGGCAGTAAGAGTGGGGTCCACCACTGCCTCCAATGCTGGTGTGAGGAAAGGAGGCTAGATCCCCTGTTGTGTGCATCTGGCTCCATTCTCTCTAGTCTAGCAGGAGAAATAGGGCCCCATGCACCTGCATGGCATTTTTTCTCATTTTCTTGTTGCCATGGTCAGCCCATGGCCCTTGGGGATTGTTTGGCTGCCGTCTTGAATTGATGTCCATGCTAATGGCGAAAAACACTGATTTTCATAACTTATGAACCAGACAACATACAAAGACAAATACATCAATGTTTTCATATAATTTGGACACCAGGAATCAAATGGAAAGATCACTGACATGCTATAACCACTCTTTATTGGTAAAAATACAGATAAGTGACACCGTGTATCATACTGCTGCAATAGGTGCAACCTGGCCGACCAGCAGCATATCATACCACTGCGAAAGATGGCATTTGCCATCTATGTCTGACACTGATAGTACTGACAACTCATAGGTATTTGATGACTTTGAAATAAGATTGGGCTGATTATGTCATCACTGGGAGCATTTCAAATTGACGTCACCCAGTAGCATATCATACCACTGCAACGGGCAGTGCCAGCCATGGCATAGGCTGTAGAGGTGAATGCTAAGGGTGCCATTATCCATAGGGGGTACTAAAATCTAAACGTTTATCTTTCATTATTTTTTACTAATGCTATTACTGTTTTTTTTTTAATATTACATAAGGCCACAACAACATAACCACATAGCAAAGTCTAATTAATAATAGAGAGGCCTATTTGTCTGGGTTCCTGCTGCCCCCGGCCCCCCTCCCAGCTCATTACACTGTACCTGCTCTCAGGGGGAGATTGGTGAGTTATCTGACCTCACATGAACTCTGAAACACGCTATATCATTATCATGTTAAAACGACAAAAGCAGGAGGAGAGCTAGTTAAAGTTACCTCTAAGGAGCCGGTGGCTGCAACGAACAGCTCACAGAGGTTGCATTCATTTACACTGTGAAGTGTTCAAGCTCTTCTCAGTAAAAGTGAGTATTGGGTAAAGGTACATTGTAATGTTCTCATGATGTTTTCCACGTAATCTTGTAAAATGTAGCTTTTGGTGAGAAACTTCAAGAGAGAATAAATCCAGCTGTTTGAAGGAGAAATTTGTTGATGTTTTCACAGCACTATACAGAGAGGGAATCATGATGTATCATATATAGTTAAAAGGCCTTTTGCTGATTTTTTTAAAAGATGCTTTTCATGTGAAAGAAGGTTATATTAAAGGTTGTTTCATAAATGTGTCAAAGGTAGTGAAATATAGGACTGAATGACTTAGAAACTGTTCATGTATTTTTTATAGTGTAGATTTCTGTGTTTCCCTGGCACAAAAGACGAATAAATAACAAAAATAAAAAGAAACACCAGTATAAAAGCATCGATACCAGCTTTTGATCAAATTGTTATTTTAAACATTGATAGCAGTATCGCCCAGAATTTCAAAATTGGTGAATCCCTAGTTTAATTAGAAAAATTGTATTACTATTTTACAGTGTCATATATTATTTTCAATATTTAATCTTCTCTGTAATTATTTTTTTTATTTATTATCGATTTATATGATTATTATAACACATATACAACATGTTACTAAGATGAAATATAGGCTATACATATTTTTCTTAACTTTTTTTTTTAGCTAGGTTTTTATTTGCATTTTCGTTATAAACATGTAGTGCTTTGACTTGGGGGGGGGGGCTCTTCTGGGCCAGCAAACGTGCCTGGACTGCCACTGACAACGGGTGCCGTCCAGTTACATTATGACCTGACACCACCCGTCTGTGTATTAGGGTTGTGCCGATGGGCGATCGGCTATAGAAGGGTTGTTTCACGATGTCTTTTTTAAATGACGATGCAATCGCAAGGTGTTGTGGGGGGGGGGGATAGCGCGTGTGTGGCGCATGCTGACGAGATCGAGGCTGAACGAGGCTGAGTGAGAGGAGACAGAGGGAGGCTGCTTAGTGAGAGAGCGGAGGGTGGGGGGAGGGGGGGGGGGGAATCAACGCCTCCGCCCGCTCGACACTAAAGCGCATATTGCGGAGCTGTGAACAAACCAAACAACACAATGTCAGGAGAAATTTAAAAGATACACCATCTATGTAAAGTCAACTTGCTAATTAAGGAGCCATTACATGTTCAAGAGACACCAGCGCCATCTTCTCTCTTCTCTTCTAATAATACCCCCCCCCCCCTTCCGGCGATGACATCGTTCATCGCCGATTTCACTAGATGCCGATAGGACGATAGGATATGGACAAGATCGCCCAACTCTACTGTGTATCATACAGCTATGACAGGTACCACCTGCCCAATATATCATAACACCTCAAAAGGTTCCATCTGGCAACATGACAATCTGTTACCGCCCGGCCACGTATCATACCGCTGCGAAGGGTGGATTTTGGCATTAGTAGGCTATCTGATGGCAAAATTATTGGCAAAGCAGTGGTATTTGACCACCTCAGGATGAGAACAGGCTAAAATAAATGCTGTTAGGACTGTGTGTTTCACTCTACATTGTATCCATTTGTTCAAAGTGATTAGGTTGTTAAATTGCTGATTAAACTGTTAGGATTCAAAGCAACGTCTACATTTTTGCTTTTATGAAACAGTAAAATCAAAGAATCAAACACACTCAGAATTAGAACTCTGTATCCTGTGAAGTCATCCATACAACAGGCTTTAATATTTAGTCATTTTCTTACTGGACTGTGAAAGACGCCGAGTGTGTGTCTAACAGATGTGAGTGCAGGAGGCATTTAGCTGTGACAGGCAGCCTTTACTGACACTGGGAGGAATCACACAAAGAGACAAAGACCACAAAGTCCCTAAGGAGATGAGAGAGAAGGAGCAGCAGCAAAAAGGGAGGGGGAGAGAGAGCTGGGTACAGAGTCAGTGCCAATGTTTTCTCATGAATTGTTCCTTCAGTATTCATACACAGCTGCTGCTTTTGTCTGCTTAAAGCTCTGCTTAAAGTTAGTCAAAGATTTTGGCCATTTTTAAAAAGACCCTAAATTACTGCATGTCTATGTAAAGATGCAAACTGCACAAGTCTCCAGGATGCAGCCCGCTAAGAACTTTTTGTGGTTCTGCTTCACATCAAAGTCTTGAACTGGTGAACCATGGGGTGGCTTTATTGTAAAGCCGTCACTGGAAATGCAACTTAATTTGTCATTGATGGTTGCACTTCAACATGCTGATGCATATACAAATCTTTAT